TGTCGAGATATTTAGGGGCAGAACGGACGTCATATCGTGAAGCCTAAAGCACGATATTTAATTGGCGCTGTCGACTATGAAATTCCGTTTAAATTGAATGTTGTTTTGCCGGTTACTGATTCCGCTATCGAAGACAAAGTTGGTGAATAGCCGCCCCTGTAATGACTACTAACTAGCCCGGTGGATAGCCGGGACTCCCATTCGGCTGTACCCCGCTGTTCCGGGAGCATTGGGGGTGTACTTTTGTTACCAATAGTGGAAAGGGCTAAACGTAATTCGGTTTTGCGGTCAGCCTCCTGCTACGTGCTTCTAAACTATTGTTTTGTTCGTGAAACCGTAATTAGTGCCGTTTGTCATGTTGCGTTAGCGGTTTTTGAGGAATTCAAGACTTTGCAATTCACATTGCTCATTGTTCATTCCTCAGGACCGCAGGAAGCGAAGCGTTCCGTTACTGGGCAAATAGCTTTCGGATCTGGCTAAAGAGAGCATCACACTAAACCTGGAAGTTTTATATTTTTATACACAAATATCTTGACGAAAAGCCCAACATTATAGAAAAAAAATCTTAGTTACTCATACAAATAATACATGGAAAATAGACGGCTGCATGTTTACGCCATACCATACTCATAATAAATTTTGATTGACTGAACACATTTTGTACAGTTGACCAGTGAGCAGTCGCAGTAGAACTCCTTGTGAAAGACTTTGTCCAGGGAAGTACTGCTACTGTACCTATTTCTACCGCCAAGTAGTATTGTGAGCATTACTGCGTTCCGGTTTTGAAGGGTACTTTCTGATGAAATTTAGTCACCTGAGACGTGTCCACTTTGCGTCTCAAGTTGATAGGCGCAATGACAGTGCCTGTCAGATATTTGCAATTTAAAGCTCTGAGTGGCACTGCAACTGCTATCGACTGTTCGTCCCTTCACTTGGTATCATGAAAGAAAATAACCTATATATTACAAACGTTAACATCCGGTTACGAATAGCAATTTCTCGAAAAATTTCTTCAAGGAGTTCTGTAAGTGGATACCCATTTTTACTAAACTTGTATTTTGCCAACAATCAATTGAAACCTCGACTCTTTGCACTGATACGTTACCCATGTTTTTTGCAACAAAGCTAAACCCTGCTCAAAGTGACATCGTACCAGCTGCCTTCTATTGTGTTACTGAACGTTGCATTATTCAATTGCCACACGATAGTAAGATAGAAGCTTTCTCTCGCGGTATGTGTAGTACAAAGCATTTACAAGTGATAGGGACACCCGACATAAACGCTCCTTGTCCCACTAAGTGGGGGCGAAGGGGAGCCTTCCTTTCTCAAGCTGGAGAAATGTTCTATTAACGTCAGCATGATGTATATTACGTCTCTTTAATATGTATCACTTCGTAACTTCCAGTGTTGTGTGTTCTATTGCTTACCTATATGCAGCCTTGGTTGCAAGATTTCCTTTATTTTGCTTGAATTGCGGAAAACACGTGGTTGATTTCCTAGCAGTTTACAATCTTTGACTTTCTAGTTATGAAAATTATAATTACAAAGTCGACGGTGCTTTAGATTTCTTTTAAATTCGACATTTTCCGTATACCGTGCTGTAGGCAAAATATCAAATTCTGCATTCGAATTGTATTTTTATTTTGTTACAATGTAAATGTATTGTTAAGCTATCTTACTAACATTACCGCCAATGTTAAATAAAGACTGCCCCGAGTTTCTGTCTGAGATCTAAATTATGGTTCCAACTAAGCATATTCGTCATAATACTTTGATCTTTTCTTATCATTATTATCTATTCTTACATTACTATGGACTCTCGTCCCTCCCATAGCCAATTTTTTATTTATTAATATTATCTATATGTACCAGTGGCACTCACTACTTACAAACAATTGATTTATATGACTAGCGAGTAATAGTTGTTTTAAATTTTCAACCCATTTCGATTTCAATTTACCCAAACTGTGCGTCTGTCTTATTCATTTTTTAACAATGAAGCGAGATAGCAAATATTGTTAATGTGTAATTTGTTTATGTGTTTTTACAGATTTTCTGTTCGTTTTCTAAACATTATTATATTAATATCTTTAAATAGGTTAGTAGTGTGCCTTTCTCCTATTATAGACAGCTTAAAACATCATAACGTCTCACGTGCGTTTTTATTTCAACTCTATATGTACTCTATTACACCTGACTCTCTTTACTTATTCAATATCAATCAGCAGGGATCTGTTTGCTTACTATTGTTATTTTAATTTCCATTATATAGAAAGTAAAATAAATAAATAAAACAGGGATATTGAAAATGTATTTTATTCATATTATAATTAATACAGTTGCACTAATAACACAGTGATGACATCGCAATAATGTCATTATTTACTTATTACACAACAACTTTACATAGATTGCTCTGATCCCAAAGTAAGTAACTAAAGCACTTATGTTATGGAAATCAGAAACAACGACGGTACCACAAACACCTAGACCCGAGACAATATAGAAAAGTTATGTTTTTTTTTAATCCGGCCGAGGATCGAACCCGGGATCTCAGAGATGACGATACCATGACAACTGGTGTGCAAGCCACTCGATCACGGAGGTCGTAGAACTTATAAAATTTAACTGAAGTCTGTGCATAAAGACCACGAAAAAAAACAATGGAGGTGGAGTATATCAGAGCCGCTGTCGCGAAAATGCACACAAACTAATGATAAACACTGTAAAATCTTTATAATGATTGGTCATAGTTTCTATTTTAAAAAGATGTAACTGTTAATGAAATTTGAACTTCTATGTATGGTAAAAGGTCAAATACGAAATACCTTTATTGTATATACTTACGGCGTTTTGATATGATATTGAAATAACTAGAGTAAAACTATTCAAAAGTACTTATAAGCTACTAAAAAAGTTATTATAGTCTAATAAAAATCAAGTACTACCTCAATATAATGGCATTCACGTCCTTACTAAAAAAATATAAAGCCGTTCGATTACAGATACATATACCTATAGACATTCGACCTACAGCTGCTCCGCTATTTAGATAATGAATTCGTATGGATTAGATTTATTTCTCTCGCGAGTTTGGGTGTAATTTGTGGTTGTCTATGTGGGTGTCCATGGCACCCGCGATACAAAGTTTCCCTAGTGCGGGGCTTAGAAAAAAAATTTAGTAATAATCAATATAGAATGCGGCATCCTTTGCTTTTGTTATGACTTTTTCACAATAATGCAAGTGGAAAATCACTGTAATACTAGATAAAAGGTCCTTAAGTCTTAGCGCTTCTCTTAAATAAACCCTTACCGTAAAACCGCAATTTGAAGACCTTATCGGTTTTTGTCCTCCATAATATTAAGGTTAAGATTTATAAAACAAACTTTGACCTCGACTAAGTAAAGGTGAGCTAAGAAAGTTTTTTGTATTTAAAAAACAAACTTTGTCTAAGTTTAAGCAAAAAATTAAGTTATAGAAAGTTCGTTTTGGAAATGCGAAGAGCTTAACTCGCTATTTACATCATCCAGCAGTCGTAAATAAAGTTCATATACATACATGCTTAAACATGTGTTTAAGAAAAATATCGGCTCGGTTTTAATTTATGGTTTCTGTTTTGTTTCTACGTTCTTATTTCTAGCCACACTGCAAATACAATGGACGTATACAGGGTTATTAGTAAAATACTAACAACCTCTCAGGACTATAATTAAAGTCCTTAATAACGTTACTAATATCATAAACAACTACTTTTGTTCCATGACTTGCAATAATTCATCACATTTTACTTTCATACAAATATACAAATTTTTAAATAGATAGTTCTAAACAGTGATAACTCTGAGCAAAACGCAGGAACACGGGTGGGGGTCATCCGGGAGGACGTCGGCACATTTGAATTTACTACCTTACTACCAGATACAGATCTAAAATTGTCAGATGATACAACAAAAACCTAGTTTATTTTTGATAAATTTATTATGTTTTATAAAAAGTCATATTTTAACAAAAATTATTGTTTATGATGTTCGTACAAGAGTCCGGCGTTAGTATTTCACAAATAAAATCATAAATAAAATAAGGCTCACCATCATAGCCATAATAGCTATGTGCATAGCCCCGCACAATGGGAAACCCTGTGTCGCGGGTGCCATGGACACACACATAGACAACAACAAATCACACCCAATTTCACCAAACAAATGTAGGCAATACAAATATTTCTCCCGGTCCAGGAATCGAACCCGGGACCTCTGCGTGATAGACCAGTATGGCAACCGTTCGGCCACGGAGGCTGTTAATAACAATCCTGTATATCAATCAGGGTTTCTTAAACCTTTTTCTAGTCATGGACCCTCCCAAAATTTCAAAGAGCCCACGGACCCTTTCCGAAAAGATGAAGACGAACTTCTTGCGGAGTAAGGATAAACCTACGCTGGTGCTTGTTGCGCCGCCAAGTTTAGATTAATAAGTATTGTTTTTAAAACTTTTTTAATTAATAAATAAAATATAAAAGGCTCGCGAGTTGCATCGACGCGCGTCTCGTTCGCTATAACCGTCAAAAGTCGCGAAAATTCAGAAAGGTCACATATTTACTCACAACAATACCAATTTTTATATTAATGCAATATGTTAGCTACTCTCGTCATCAACCCCCGGCGTTCATTACACGGACCCCTTAGGAGTCCTTAGACCACAGGTTAAGAAACCCTGCATACGTATACGTACATTATTTTTGCGGTGTGGCTAAAAATAAGACTAGAAATAAAACAATAACAATAACTTAAAACCGAGGTGATGTTTTTCAAAATTTTCAAATAGCCCTGTATACTAATTAATACAATACACAGGTACATTTTGCGTTATGGTTGTGATTAAAATACCGCTACGTTCTCAAAGCGGCTGCCATTTCGGTGTAGCATCGCCGTCGCAATCACGTCAAACGTCGGTATCGTTTAGTTCAATCAAAACAATTTACCGTATTTTCTCTTTGTTTCAGTTCCTCCACACCAACTGATCTTGTACGATAAGTCAGGTCGCGATGTGTCGGGCGTTGTGGGGCCATTGGAAGAAGGCAATGAGTTGGTGCTCGTCTGTGAAGTTAGAGGAGGTAAGACCGAATTTATAATAATAAGCCAGATATTGCGATATTGGATCGATCGCATTCGAGAATATTTCTTGTGACCGTTACCATCCCGCATGACGAGTGTCTCGTGAAAGCCGAAACCGAGAAACGTGGAAGTATCTCGATCATGCGCATGCGATCAACGGCATGTGAGATGTGGCCTCCACTGAAATAATCTCAATTGTTTTGATAGAACTTAACTGATAGAAAATTTATATCAGCCTAACTAGCAACTTGAGGCGATTGTATTTATGTGGCATGTCGCTGCCAGCACAAATGCAGAATGCCATCCTGCTGGATACGGCACGTATTATTCATTTGCTCTTGAGCAGTGAGTCCCTAACACCGACCGATAATGCTACTGCCTTGGAATGCCGCCTCTCTCATTTGAAAAATCAAAATTAATCTTTTAGGCCATGGGAGAGGTGAGAGTTTGAAATGGATTTTCAATTAATAATACTAGCTACTAGCAGTGGCAGTTCCCTACACACATAACGTACAGAAGACAATGAAAGAAAAAAATAGTAATTACTATGATAACTAAAACTTGGCGACAAGAAAAAGTGTGTATTGTATATATTGTCCTTTTCACAACAGGCCCTAATCATCTTCACCATAGCTTAAATTATTACATTTAAAGAAACCCTCCACGTTACCTTACAGAAAGCTTTTAAATTTTATTTTATTACCGAATTGTCAGAAAGTTTAAGCAGACAAAAGAAGACTCTTAATTTAGAACAGGCTCTTAACACAACACACCCTTAACGTAGATACACATATTGCTGCATTTACTTGATTTCGGTTTTTAAATGTAGTTAAAACCAGCCAAGATCCTTATAAAACACAAACAATAAATGCAAGACACGTCGGATTGTCAACCACATCACACCCACACTGGAGGCAATTTAGAAGTTTACCTATTTCTTCCGCCAAGCAGTAATATGAGCATTACTGTGTTCCGATTTGGAAGGGTAAAGGTGCTGGTGAAATTACAGGCACATGAGACTTGTCAACTTGTGTTTCAGGGTGACGGGCGTAGTGGCAGTGCCCCTAAGATCTTAGCGATTTGAAGCTCTTAGTGATACTGCAACTATTATGGATAGGCGTGTCGCCTACCACCAGGCGCACGACTTGTTCGATCCGTCACTTTATATTATAAAACAAAATTTAATTTTCCAAATTTTTTCTACCGGGAATCCAACGCGGGACCTCATCATCCGACGGCCACAGTCGTAACCGTTGCGCCACTGAGATTGTCGTAATTTGAATCGGCTCACAAGACTCTGAGGATCGTATTCTAGAACTCTACTCAAAGCTCAAGTCAGGACTTGAGTATGATTCAAAGCACTAGAAATCATACTCAAGTCCTTACCATTAAGGTCGTATTTCCAGTGCTTGAAATCTTTCTTAACTCTGCTCAAATCCTGACTTGAGCATTGAGTAGAGTTCTGGAATACGACCCTGAGGCTAAAATCTACAACTATCTAAAAATAAAGTAACTCACTATGCTATTCTGAAACAGTACCCGTTACTAAGCCGGAAATGTTATTCTCCTACATCCTAAGTTAATAATATAAAGGGGTTACAGAAAAAAATACTAAACCTCGCATGACTATATTACTAACATCATAAACAACATTTCATGACTTTTATAAAACTAAAAAATAGGAATTTCCCAAAAATTTTTTGTTGTACTATCTAATTTTTAGATATAAATTTGTTAAGTAAGATGGTAAGTTCAAACGTGCAAGCGTTCCTCTTCACCCATTCCCACCGCCGCTCCTGCGTTTTGCATAGGATTGGTATTAACGCTTTCTTTTGTTACTACACAGAGTTATCACCTTTTAGAGTGTTTATTTTTGTACGAAAGTAAAAATCTGATGAAATATTAAAATCATGGAACAAAAGTTGTTGTTCATGATGTTAGTTAGATATGTTCCACACAAACCCCACAGTAATATGGTCCTTCGAGGATATTAGTATTTTACAAATAACCTTGTTGTATAGTGACGTGAGACGTCTAAAATATAATTATGAACGAATATTTTGGTCTTGATTTTAATAAGGAAACCCATATTTCCCAACGTCGGCCTAGACCCATTGACATTAGTCTTCCAAGACATTTGTATTGAAGGTGTTGTATGTTTATATTGTCTATCCAATATTATTGCTCGTTAACTTGACACTAAACGATCCTATGAACTGACTCATCATAAATCACGACAGTATCAGTCAGAATAAGCATAAGTTCTCCCCCAAGTGGGAGATGAGAAATTAAACCGATTACTTTGATATATCGCTCTTAAACTTACCGATAAGTCACTCTGAGAGATCGGCTCCAAATGGCACCCGGTGTAAAGTTATCCATCGCCTCAAGATACGAGGAACGAGGGGGTAGGGGTTTCAAAGACAAAATTAGACGCTCCGTTTAGAACAGTACCGAACGCTTTGCAAACTTTACATCCTATTCTATCTTTCTCAAATATTAATACCTTTTTGTTATAAGGAAAGCCTTTCTTTAAGGCGAGGTATTTCAATAGAGCCTAGATTTTAGGGGTGAGGTGAGGGGGGTCAAAATTAATATCAATAAAATAAGAACACGCAGAGAAAATTTGACACAGATACGACGTCGACAAGCGCCCGATAGCGAGTGATGAAACAGCAGCCGGCGCGGTGTGTCGCTAAGCGGCTGGGTAATTTTCAAAAATTTGGATAAACGTGAATTTAATTACTATAGAGCTTCAGTTGAAAAACAAAATTTAGTAGGTTCTCTGTAATACTTAAAGAGAACTACCTTCGTATAAAAATTGTGTACAAACTTAAATGTTTTATTCTTATTTAATTTGTTTTAGATATTTTAGCCTGTTTTCAGGATGTTACATGATCCGATAAAGTACATCCTATCGTGTAACAAATTAGCAAATTCTTTAGACAATCTTTAGGTGTCTCGTATATTTTTTGTAAGACCGTTATTTAATAGTAAATACTTCATCCCTTTGATGTAGCAAAACAGTTTTTCCCGCTTCTCCTTTGGTGACTGAAACCGTTCACTTTCAAACAACATGCTATATTTCATAACAATAATAGAAAAAAAAGCGAATAGGCACTAAGTAAGCAAGCATCTTCACTACCATTACACATCACAATATTGTATAATAATAAATTCAAAAGTTACTTTGCAGAAATCCATGTTAATAAAAATGGAAGTAAATTAGTGAACTATCTCGGTGGCCGAACGGTTACCATGCCGGACTGCTACGCAGAGGCCCCAGGTAAGATTTCCGGACCGGGAGAATCATTTGTATGGCCTGCATTTGTTTATCTCGTAAATTTGGGTGTGATTTGTTGTTGTCTATGTGTGTGTACAAGGTACCCGCGACACAGGGTTTCCCTAGTGCGGGGCTATGTTGAGTGTGTGCGTTATTATTATTATTATTTGCTAGTCTGCGAACCCAGTGAAGGTTAAATCATGCAAAGTAGCTACCACGACGGAAAAAAAACAATGAAAGTGCCTCGATTACTATCAGAACCAATGTCACTGAAACTCACACATTTATAATTTGATACACTATGAAATCGTGATAATGATTGGTCGTAGTTTCAAATTTAAAAAGAAATATCAAAATCTGTACCGTTACTTATAAAAAAAAATGTAATTTAAACTTAACTTTGTTGGCATATCGTTGAAAATTCAATACCATCAATACCTTTTGTCTTTTTTTTTTATAAAATATAAGTGCGCGTTTGACCTTTATCTCACCTGATGGAAAGTGACCATGAGATCGACGATGTAGCATGCACACCTAAATAAAGCTTATTCACTCTCGCCTAGAAAAGGTCCAAGTTATAGCGTTTGGAGAACAAGTCCGCAGACAGGGAATTCCACTCCCTAGCCGCTCGCCATACAAATGTGGAAGCGAAACGCTTCGTGTGAATCCGGGGAATATCTACAACACAGGGGTGGAACCCCAGCCTAAAATTCAAAAAATCTAATTATACAATTATGCAAAACACGTATCTCTAGCTAGTTACGACATTTTGATTTTACTTAAATAGAAATTTCAATCAATGTACTGCCATCTAGCGTTTTATAGTTGAACGACGACGAATTCGAATGTTACTTAAACTTCAAAAAAAGAAGCAACCATATTGCAGTGTCGTAAGGTTTGCTATCGTTTCTTGTGACAAAAATAAGATTACGACAAACCGAACATTGAAAATTTATTAACTTAAGTAAAATAAGACTTAATGATGATACGGAACACCACCATATGACCACCATAAATAATATTACTAGTGCAACAAAAGCAAGATTTTATGAAAATATTCAACACAATCGCACAATTTCGCTTTAACTGGGTTCGCGAAGTAGCAAAATAATTTACTTCTATTTTTATGAACTAACCATTACGTATGATTGTGGTCAAATGTTTACCTATGAAAAGCAAACCACTAAGATTTATCTTACTAAACCCCAGTGGTTACAAATGACTTTATCAAAACAATTAAAGCTAATATAAATTGTATGCAACGCTAAGTGCAAAGGAATACTATAACAATAAAGAGAACTTACAATAAAATGAGAGGTCAGCTATGTAGATAATGTAGCTTCGTAACGACATTACACAAGAGCTTTGAAAGATCGCCCAACTTCGTCCAGTTTTGGGGAAAAATATAATATATTAAAAAGACTTTCTGGATCATAAATCACTTCAAAACTTTCTAAGCACCGTCACAAAACTGAGACAAAGGCTAGAACCTACTGGTACAAACACAATTCAGCTACCTCCAAACTTCAGACTATTTGTCGTGTACTAAGTCATTGTCCAAAAAAATGAAATGACGGCGGATGACACAGCAAATTGGATGTGTCAATCCAATGAAATTCTTTGATTTTTCTCTCAACCTTCAATATTTTTGTTCTCTGAGACGAAATCCTTGTTCTTGATTTACATATTTCTTCGTGCGTGCCATTAAAAATCGAAGTCATACCCACGCTTGCCGAAAATGATGGCGGAGGTAATAATTTTCCGATTGCGCGGTTACTTCACGTAACGATGCTTCCTGGTGCCTTACAAATGTAGCAGCAAGTTGAAAATCTTGTATAAACAGTTGATAATCCTTGCGCGCTTAATGTTTTGAGTTGGCATTATGCATAGCCTCGGGGATTAGCGGGTTGTCATCCGTGACGCTGCGGTTCGACTTTGTTAGATCGCTTTCACAACTCGTTAATATAATGAAATGTGCAAATATTTGATCGAACATTATTCCCGTGAACGATGCTTTCAATATTATTAGTTAAACTTTATCATGTTTACAAGTATATATTGAAGTTTAAAATACACTTTTCTACTTTAGCATCCGTTTTGTTGCCGAGGATTAACTATGTAGGCTATGTATAAAAATAAATTAAACACAACAAAACCATTTAACTTTGAAACAGCAGAACGCCCTTTCATAGTTAAACAAACATATTATGAGAGAATGTATAAAGTCAACTTGAATGTAGCAAACAAGGAGGAAAGTCATTTAAAGCTACGATGTAAAAACATTTCAGCGAGTAACGCTGAACAAATATGCCTATACGAGTTGGGAAGAACGAGTAAGTTTGTTAGGAATAAGTGACGTGGAATGATCAATATGACCGGGCCAAAGTCGGCCACGGTAACGTAATTACGACTAAGCCTCGCCCAGTCTCGACCACCCAAACTTGGTGCCCCCTTCACACTGATCCATTAGCTTGAATGTGTTCTGCTCATAATCAATGATCAACGGTCCGATAAGCATAATTTCAATTAGGAGTTAAGAAAGTTTAAATTATAATTTTTATAAAATATGGGACATCCATCCATCGTATGCGTGTTACGTCAGGAAATAAAACGCCCTTTTTCCATTCCTGCGTACATTCCGTATAATCAAATGCGTATTGGTTACTGCACATGTTCAGTTTTGCGAGTCATCGTGACACCAAGAAGGTAGTTCTTTGAACTTGCCGACATTAAATTGATCGATGGCGTATCTGCAGTATACAAAATACTTGTGGAAAAAGTGGAGCAAATTCGTAGGAAAATTTTATGTAAATTCAACCGTGTAGCAAGTACGATTTTGGAACTATTCAGATCAATACTCTAATATTGCTTTTACACTATCATGAGTATAGAAAAATCATACCGTTCATAATGTGTTTAGAAGACTAAAGTTGCCCATCTGGGAATATAATCTAGATTTGCTCCTAGTATGTTGAAAACAGATGATTTTCCTTTAAACAAAAAAACATATCTGCTACTACATTACAGAAACTGAGTAACATATATTTCATTCTATTTATTCCCATAAGGATGTCATCTCGTATGTCAGCGATACCTACGACCTTTCCGGCCCTGACTACACCGTACCCGCTCCTCTTTGTTACAATGCGACATTCCTGGCAACTATGAGTGATGACACTCGCTTCTAAATGCGCCTTTGAATTATTCAGCACCAGCCATTCTGCCGAATTCGTGATAATTAATTTCTAATTCTTCTTATTTGTTACAATTATTTGTTACTACATTAATAATTACTTTTTATTTATAATTTAAATTCGTTATTGTTTTAATCAACTCACATAGTAGTAGTACAAAGCTCCTTGTGTTCGTCCAGGGAAGTACTGCCACGGGCCTATTTCTGCCACCAAGACGTAATGTGACCATTACTGCGTTTCGTTTTTAAAGGGTAAGGGTGCTAGTGAAATTATAGGCGCATGGGACTTTTCAACTTGTATCTCAGGGAGACGGGCGTAGTGGCAGTGCCCCTGAAATCACTGCAAACCTGAAAGCTCTGAGCGGCACTGCAACTGCAATGGATAGGCGTGTCGCTTACCACCAGGCGCATGTCTTGGTACCATTAAAAAATGCTAAAAATGAACTTTCAACTAACGCCAAAGGCATTAATGGTTAGTGATGAGGAAATATTCAGTCTCGTATTAATATATCGATCATAATAGGCTGTTTGGTGATTTCTTTTCAATTCCGGATTTTTGAATACCTGTAACTATTTTTTTTCGTCGAATTTCAATATTACAAAAAAATATAATAAACAGAGTCATTGTCATAATTTTCTCATTGCGTACTCTCCGTTACAAATGTTTTAACTAGTTATTGTCTAGGTAAACCTGGGAGGTAGGCGTTGTAGTGTAGTTATGTGTGGACAATGCTCTGTGTAATACTAATATCTAGATAATGATTCTGTTTTTAAGTTCTATTGGAAATCTTAGAACTGAAATTATATGTGTGTTAGTTTTTCTTTTTTTTGAACATGGCAGGCTGTAGCTGGATATCAGTGACGCTGAGAAACACTCCACCATTGTGCTGAGCTACAGAACTTTTGTCTCCCATTACCTATTGTCAGTTACTAAACTCTGTGTAAAGTAACTTATTTTTATTTACTGTAATAATAATAATATATAGTAATCATTAATACAAAGATCGAACACTCAGAAAAAGTTCCTTCGATCCGGTCGGATTCGAACCGACGTCTTCTTGCATACCGTGCCAGACGCTATACCAACTAAGCTTAGTTGGTATAGCGTCTGGCACGGATCCAACCGGAGTGGAGTAATTTCACAAAAAATAATTGAATATTAATTCAATAAAAATTTCAAATAATATATAGTATTACTAGTGATACTAGACAGGCGTTTCATTTTCGGTAAATGTCAAATACCATTGTGGGTATATGTTTTTCGTCAATACTACTCACACATTTGTAAGTGTCATCAACAAAACGTATCCTTGGTATAATAAAAGCACATGTGAACATTCGTCAAAAGCTCTTTTATCACACGAAAGTCGCAAAAATAATACCAATCTACATGAAAGAAATTATGTACATGTGAAATTTTGTAAGTCTCCTTTTTAAGCATAAAAAATATCGACTAATCTCTACCTCCAGAAAAGTAGTCGTTTTGCAGATGTGATCACATCAAGGATATGCAAATCTTAGCAACTGAGCTCGGAATTTGAGCTCAACTCAATAACAAATGAAACAAAAACAAATGGGAAGGTTTTTGACAATCAGCCGTTATACCGGAGTTTAATCAGTGTTTTATATCAAACTTTACGGGAAATAGTGTATCATCAACTTTACGTATCATACCATGGCTGAGGTATTGGACTATTGAAACCTCTCGATGAGTATTAGAGCGATTACACACGGTGCCTTTTGGCGGCGCGTCCGCTTAGTGATTTAGTCGCGATGCAGTCGCTAATCGTCTACTTTTACACAGACTCGTCTCTTAAGCAACGAAACAATACCGATGCAAACGCAATGCGCGTTTTTAATGATTCAACATATGTGACGGCATCGATGCAATAGCGCGTTTGCATCGATGCAACCGCTATAGGTAAATCGCTAGTATCGCGATGCAATCCACCAACACACGTTTGTACCGCTACTAAAGGTCACTGTGTGTAACTGTTCTTAGTGTCATTACGAACTCAGCTCAACATAGTCGATCACGATCAACAAAGTGATCGATGAACTAACCATTCGATTAATTTATACCAAACTCCAACGAAGTTTACGCAATGATAAGTAAGTCGAAGTTAGGAAGTTATAAATTGCACTTCCATTTGATAGGCCCGCCAGGCGTACAAATTAGTTAGTTATGCTATGTTAGGGTGTTTCTCGGTTTACGACATAAAACATTACTGCCAAGCTTTGATAAATTATTTATTAATTAAATAATTGCCATATTTCTCGTGACCTTTTCACTCAATATCACATTACATATACGGAGTCTACATATTTTTTTTAAAGCCTAAGTTATTCCATAAGTAAGTTATTCCATATAACTACTTAGTACTTGGTGTAACGGACTAGTGTCACCCAAGCTCCTCCAGGAATACAGCAGCCTCTTCGGTTTGCTGAAGACTTCGGGGAGCAACCTCGGCCCTCCAAGATACTTTGCCATGTAGTTGGCCACGCCGTAGCACTAGTAGGATGTGCACGGCCGTTTCCTCCCTCTCCATGCACGCTTTGCATAGAGGGCTGTCCGCGATCCATAAATTGAAAAGGTGTTTATTGTATGGACCATGACCCGTTAGAGCGGCATTCTATATAACAAACAGAAGTATTATGTAACGATTGCTACATATAGGAAATGAAACTATTTCTTCTTCTTCTATTTAATTACGCTTATATATTTGTTTTTTCAAACTAATCAATGTTTCGAGCCTTTTACATGTTCCTAGCGACATTGACAGATGTGACTGTTGGGCCTGTAAAACAAATATTAATTTAATATCCTATTACTTAGGTATTTATTGTTTTATTGCAAAGACATCACTAAAGTTACTTATACGCAATCATGATTTTATGAGACATCTTTGAATTCCTAATTGCTATACATATACAACGTGAATATTTAATCTCCATACATAGTTTAAAAATAACCTTCCATCCTAATAACCTTCCAGCCACCTTTGCTATCTAATACACACAATACATATGTTATTGAGCATATTTTTCATTCATATGTTTTTAGAAAAATACTCCACTCAAACACAAACAAAAATTCCTTCGATCTGATCCGAACCAGCGTCTGTTACCTCAACATGGCTGCCGCTCTTATTAATTTAATATTTTTTGTCATAAGGTCGGCCAGCACCAACGGTAATGTGGTTGATCGACAATTCACCGGCACCACAATATATTGGAGAAAAGACTGATACCCATGTCGTGGTCAACCGGTTAGAATTATCACACATAAGAAGGAACCATCTAAACACCACCTTCAAATGCCGAGCCTCGAACACCAACCTCGTCAGCCCACAAGAAAAGACTGTTAGACTTGAAATGAATTGTAAGTATTTACCTTCATTATTACTATAGTCTCTTTCTCGGATGGAGTAAAATAATATTTGCAGGGTTGCCAGTTGTCATAAAATTTTAAATAGTCATGTAGTTGTTATCGACAGTTTCATCTATAGATTGTGAAAGAAGCTAAAATTTTGCCAAAAATTTCCGAATTATGAAAGGCGTTCTAATGATTTTGCTTTCTCTTTATTCTTATTTTGACAGTTGGCCTACCAGTAGGTTTCGAAATCAGTATCGAATTAAATTTTTATTCGTATACATATTATATATATAGATTTGATTATCTCTATTGAATTAAAGTGCAAAACTTTAAAATACATTTGTCTCCGCTTTTCTAAATGCGGTGTATGTATGTAAGTAGGAACTTACAAAAATTGACAATTCAAATGACGCTGTGCCAAATAGTTGGACGAATAATGGACCAATAATGATTCAAATGAAACAAGTTTGATTATTTACTGCAGCGTAACCAACATTCACTCGATAGAATATTTTATCGACTGCAATCACTAGCTGCTTTCGAGAGCCCGGTACGTTTGCGCTATAAACTGTCATTTTACACCGTCTTATAAAAAACAGACTATAGTCTTCCTGTGTAGAAAATTAATAATAATAATCAAACGTACCTATTGGAATTCACACAGGTGTACTTTCCAGATTACCCAAACCAGAACTAATTTAGAAAAGTTCATTTCCCAAATTACTCCAGTTACGAATAGAACCTGAGACTTCGTCATTAACCGCCCACAGTGCAAATCGTAGGTCATTCGTCGTCAAACTAACGTATGGTTGTTTTTGTAAGCCGTTAACATTTACCACAAGATATTATTAATTACATTAATGTGATATAGTTTGTCCAATACGAGTATGGAATTTCACACATATTTCATGGACATCTCCTTAACATTTTCGTGGACGTGCCGCATACAAAAATGTCAGTCCTTTTCTTGCCGTAATGCTTATTGTAATTCAATATAAAGTGTTCCATGTATGTAAATCATTGAACTTTGTCAGTACGTTGTTGGCAGTTCTCTATCGAAATATCGCAATAGGTGACAACTACAAAGAAAGCATTTGGAATTCACACTGTAATTGGTTTATGTAGTTGGTTTTTGAGGTCCATATAGCGAAACGGCGTAACCCGTACTATGGCTTATTCCCAGCTGATCCCCTAAAAGCGAACCCTTGGGGATCCGTTTCATTTTAAATTATTTTCTATTCCCATGGGGTCCCCAATACAAGGGGATCAAGAATAAATATCAGTTGCAATTTAAAATTGGCGGTGAACCAGTTATGGGGATCAGACAGGAATAACCCCGTACTATCATATTCTAATATTTAATTTTACGGTAAACGCTGTTACTCTCCATTAACGGGTTACAATATCGGCTTTCATAACACTTGTATTATCCCTGCAGTAAAGCCAACGCTGGTGCAGATCCTGAACAAGCCAACAACGCTGTCGTCAGAGACACACGTCAGCCTAACATGCGTGTCAGAAGGCAGTCGACCTCCGGCGCAGTTAACTTGGTTCAAGGATAATAGGAAATTTAAGAAAGCTAAGGTAAATCTCGATTAACATTATCTTAGAAACTTTTCTGAATCGTTCTGAACACCTGTACAGCTCCCATAACACACATTCCATGTGATGTTTAACGTGCGTAGAGAAATAAAGAGAACGTTTATAAATGCCTTTGAAGACATACAGTCAACGAAATACTATTATTATATTAAGATATAATAATATTAAGATATTTATTTCTCTTTAGGTCAAAGTCAAATAATCATTTATTCCATATGTAACATTTTTACACTTGAAAACGTCATTTTTTAAGTTTCTGCTCGTTCACTACGCTGATCTTCTTGGAGAAGAACGAGCAGGAAACTCTAGAGTTTCGTGCTCGTTCTTAGACTTAAATGTTAAAGAATACACTTTCAACTCATATTTGTGTGGAATCTAGACTCACGTTGTCTTTCCATACATCTTTATCTGACACGTAGTCTACAATTTTGCAATATGACTTTTCAATTAAAATACTTTTAATGTAAGTTTTAAACTTAGGAAATGGTAATCTTAATATATGCTCCGGAATCTTATTGTTAAAACGTATACAGTTACCCATAAAAGATTCGTTTACCTTAGTTAAACGAAATCGTGGTACCACGAGTTTGGACTTAGTTCTAAGGTTAATATTATGGATATTTTCTTTCGTAACGAAATTATGTATATTTTTATTGGCATACAAAATATTTGAGTAAATGTACTGTGATGCCACAGTCATGATACCAGTCTCCTTAAACTTTTCTGTGAGAGATATCCGAGAACCTTAACGGTACACAGAACAAATCGCTCGTTTTTGCAACACAAATAAGTTTGTATACATTTGTGTATTAAAATTTACAATTAACAAAACTGCATTTACAATTTACAATTAACAATTTACAATTAAAAAAACGTACATTGTGCAGTCGTCTTTCCTATATCTATGGTCGTCATACGACATAAAAATTAGAATGCATGTGAAATATATAGGTAATATAACATTTCTGTGGCATATATCACGGACAACAGGAGATATGTATTTTTTTAAAACACGCACATATACATATATTACACATTAAAGGTTAGGCGCCCCGACGTCAATGCGCGTTGGCCCCGTTTACGGAGCATTCTATTTGATTGTCTACATTGATTCACATTTACATTCAAATATAGGTACCGCTTATTAATGACGATTCAAAATCCAAACTGCAATCGCCAGTTGAAATAATTAAGCATGGTATAATTAAGGTAGTTGAGGCGCTGGAAGCGAATGTAGCTAGGCTACAGAATGACCTAAACGACCGCGATCAGGAGTTACTGGCCAACGAACTAGAATTTAGCGGCCTGCCTGAAGAGATTGCAGAAAATCCAATGCATCTCGCGTTGGCATGTGCTGCCAAGCTCGGCGTACCGCTGGAGGAGCGCGATGTAGTAAGCTGCGCGCGCGCTGGTGCTCTGAGGCGCGAGGTGGGCGCGCGTCCCCGGCCGCTGGCACTACGGCTAGCGCGTCGCGACACACGTGAGGCCTTGCTGCGCGCTGCGCGCGTGCGTCGTCACGTTACTACAGAGGGTCTGGGCCAGAAGAGCGAACCGCGGCCTTTCTATGTTAACGAGCGGTTAACAAAGTTGAACCGGCACCTCTTCTATAGGTCGAGGCAAATAGGTAGTCGTCTACAATGGAGGTACATTTGGACCAAAGATGGCAGAATTTATGCGAGGAGGGATACCGGAGCCCCGGCTCATCGAATTCGCAGTGAAGCGGATCTGCTGAAAACTTTTGGGGCCGACGGCGTTCGTTCCCAGACAGCAGAATCCTAAAAGAATTAGGGACTTATTTGTTACTTTTAATTAAATTAATAACACTAAATTTAGTAAAAATTTCAATGTACTGGCATATGTGTGGCAGTGGTTTATTTGCAAGGCATTACAAGGTTCTCAACATTTATACCATTATTCTCATATTTTTACACTCGACCACAATTATTTATATTATTGGTTATAAATCGATACATATACAAACAAAACACATTGTTACACACACTTACTATATACAGGATTTAAACGAACACAACACTCAACAGGCATTTCACAAAAATAAATATCAAAATGGATTAGTACGATTCTTAAAGATAAGCTACCAACTTGTATTTATAACTTTATATACATGTTATCATCCATATATCATGGCGCTATATTATTGTTACTTTGATATTGTCCACAAAGTGCTAATCATAAATAATTTGTTTAATTGTAATTTTAGTGTATATTCGTATTCAAATTTAATTTAAAAAGTAAACTTAAGTTAGGATTACTAAATGTGGGTTCATTAGGCACACGTCATGATGAATTTCTGGTTGCAATGGAACGACACGATGTTGATATTATGGCCATTAACGAGACTTGGTTGAGAGAAGGCGAAGACGGTCGAGCACCCTCGGTGCCTGGTTACCGGCTACGTCATATTCCTCGCCCTGCCGCCGTGCGTTCGCGCGGTGGTGGGGTCGGCTTCTACATACGACAGGGCATCGCGGTCCGTATATTGCCTCATCCGCCGGCTCCGCTCGTAGAACAAATGTGGTTGTGTTTGAATATTGCTGGCATGAAGCTACTGATAGGGACAGCGTACAGACCCCCGTGGCTAAATGTAGACACTTTTATAGACGCATTGGCTGAGAGTCTGGGCTGTTTCTCATGGTGCAACAAAGTAGTTCTGTTAGGAGATTTTAATGTTGATTTATTGCACCAATCACATATCGATACCAAAAAGATTACATATTTTCTAACGTGTCATACATTGAAACAATGTGTGTCCGAACCCACTCATTTCACAGAGTATAGTGAAACTCTTATTGATACCATTAGTACCGACGTGGATAATACTGTGGTACGAGTCGAATACATACAAGCGCTGAGTCACCATGCTTTTATTACATGCCTCTTAAATGTTGTGAAGTCGAAGCCAGCATCAACAAAGATAATTCGCAGAAACTTGCAAGGTATTAACAGTAAACAATTTGAACTAGATCTTAATGCAATAGACTGGATGAGTATAAGCAATTTAGGTGATGTTGATCATATGGTGGGGCAATTCAATGAACGATTAGTGGCGTTGTTTGATATACATGCACCACTCCGAGTGTGGCATACTAAGCATCACCAGTATCCGTGGATTACATATAATGTAAAGCAGCTGATGAAGCGTAGAGATGAAGCCCATGTTGTAGCACGCAAAAACGGTAAAGATTCGCAAAATACTTACTATAAGGAACTCAAAAAAGCTGTAAATGATGTGTTGCAAAGTGAAAAAAAAGCTTATTACGATCATTACATTAATAATCAGAGAGATTCCCGGGTCTTATGGAAACATATTAAAAGAAATATTAGGATAAATTGTAAACAAGAGCTTCCTTTAAATATTTATAATGAACCCAATTTAATAAATGATCATTTTTTGAATCTACCCGGTAATGCACAAGCCGCTTTAACAGACATGACATTTTTTGAACAAAACTGTAACGTTTCTGAAAAATTCGTACTGGAGAGAGTAGAAGAAATTGAGGTTCTCCAAACTATGCGTTCGTTGAAATCAAAGGCGGTTGGTCTTGATGGTATTTCGTCAGACATGTTGCTGTTGTCATTGCCCACCACATTATCTGTTGTAACAGCTATGGTAAACAGATCCATTGAAACGAGTACGTTTCCAGCGGACTGGCGGAATGCAGTAATACGGCCTATCCCGAAAATTAATAATCCAACCACCTTACAAGATATTTGACCAATAAACATACTGCCATGCATGTCAAAGGTTTTGGAAAAGATCGTGGTGAAACAATTGACAAACTTTTTAGAAAAGAATAAAATTCTTCCTACTACACAATCTGGTTTTAGGAAAAAGCATAGCACAGCAACTGCCATGGTCCACGTTGTTGATGATATCTTAACTGCTCAAGACAGTGGACAGGGGACCTTGTTGACACTGTTAGATTTTTCCAGAGCCTTTGACTGCATAAATGTCAACTTACTGTTATCAAAGCTTCATTATTACGGGTTTAGTGAGTCTACCGTTAAATGGTTTGACAGCTATCTAAAGAGTCGATTTCAGTGCGTAGAACTGTCAAACCAGAGCGGATCAAAATTACTATCGGAGTCACGTGACGTCACACGAGGAGTGCCTCAAGGCTCAATTTTGGGTCCGATCCTTTTTATTATCTACAGTGCCGATGTAGTGCAACATATTAAACACTGTAGATATCATATTTATGCTGACGATATACAGGTTTACATTTCATGTAAACCATGTGATGTTCGTACAGCTGCGGATAAGTTAAACGAAGACTTAGAACGTGTAGCCCTTTGGGCTGAATCAAATGCGTTAGTACTAAATGGCAATAAATCCAAATACATGGTTTTCGGTACAAGAAACCAAATAGCAAAAATCGTAGATCACGGAGTTACTCTGGCCATTAGGGGTGAGGTCATTGCACGAGTAAGTGAGGCTCGTAACCTTGGTCTCGTTATGGACGAACATCTTCGCTTCGAAAATCATGTACTGGGAACGGTTCGAAATTGTTTTTATAGATTAAAGATATTGTATAACATTAGGAATTATCTAACAGTACAAACGCGTGTTAAATTATGTGACTCGTTGGTTTTATCTAAGTTTAACTATATGGACGTTGTTTACGGGCCGCGTCTACTAGCGCATACGCAGAAGCAAATTCAACGAGTGCAGAATGCATGTGCAAGGTTCTGCTTTAATGTACCACCACGCATGCACGTAACTCCTTATATTAACGAAGCAAATATTTTAAAGATGAGAGCGCGGAGAGATTTACATTTGGCAACTTTGTTGTTTGGCGTTATCAAATACGAGGTTCCGCCTTATCTGGCTAAAAAGTTGGTATGGTCACGCGACGTAAAAACCTCCTTCACCAGAACGTTGAACTGGACGATGGTTGTACCACGCCACCATACCGCTGCATTCCGTGGCAGTTTCAAGTTCACCGCAGCGAAGATATGGAACGTCCTGTTGCCTCCGCCACTTCGTAGTCTGAAATCAGTGCACACTTTTAAAATCAATTATAGAAAATATCTCTTGGATAACCAAAAAAGAACAGTGTGATTTCACTTGTGCACTTACCGCGCTGGTTTCGACTCATAGCATTGGTGTACGGCGGCCGATATCTTCATTGTTATCGCTGCGGTTTTCGTGATAGGGCAGTTGAGGCATGCTCCTTGAAATTTATTCAATGATTATTAATTATTTTATTTTTATTTTTTAATATTTTTTATATATAATCCAATCTAATTAATCTGATATTTTGATTATTTGTTAATTTAATGATCATGTTCCATCATTTATGTTTGTATTTATAATATAAATTTATAAGAGCTCGATATTATACAATACTTACAAAATACTTTAGAAATATACAATACTTTAGAAATACACTAGTAATAGCTCTAATCGTAATAATACGTACCGTTATGGTGTAGGACACTGCGTGTTTCATTCTGTAAACAAAACAACGGAGCGAACTGCGTTGTGCTGGCTGTCGAATAGCGTCCCCTCCCCCTTACTTCTCCCCGCGCACCTTTCGTCACAATCCGACTCGGACGAGGATCGAGAATAATTTTATTTGTTAGATAATTACGTTACCACACTATAAACACACACAGAGGGTATATTCATATTTTATATATATATTTTTGTTATATTTATGTAGATTTAATATAATATAACACACACAGCAGTAACACAATGCACAAAATACACTTACATAGACAAATATTTAAGTAGGTAGTTTATTTTTTTTTGCGACACACACGTCCGTCACTCATCTCGGATCAGGGCTCATTGAAAACCAGCGCCACAGTCAATTCTGGCTGTGGTAAAAGCTGAATGTAGTCCTTTTGCGTACGCCACGACTGCACAAATGACTGAACAATTTGTTGTTATTTTGCTTTTTTTTTTTTTCCTTTTTTGTTTGTTTTGATAATTTTAATGTTTTCTTTTTTCATTTGTTTGTTTTACGTATGTCTATTTTGTTTATTAATTATTATTACTGTTATTATTTTTAATTTTAATGTTCATCGTACTGTGTTATAATTCATTTTTTTTTTTGTATCATGTGTTGTGGCGTCGCAATAAATGTCTATTCTATTCTATTCTATTCTATTCTAAATAGTCCGCTACTTCACAGCGGGTACTTACATTCAGAAGAGTTTTTTTTTTTTCAAAACTTAAATTATTTTAACAGATAGTAGAAGCACAGAACGAAACGTGGGTGAGCAGCACAGTACAGTTCACGCCACAGCCTGAAGATGACGGCGTGCAGCTGAAATGCCAGGCGGACAACAACGCATTGCCTGGACAGAGCATTGAAGACTTCTTCAAACTTGATGTTGTCTGTAAGTTTTCCAATTGATATTCAAACCTGGAAACACTCAAGAGTTTACATAATGAAAAGTCTATCCGCTTATAGACATTTGCTTAGGAAGTATTGTGTAAACTGTACTCACAGCTACCGGTACTCACCGGTACTTTTCTTGCCCATCAACACAATTCACTGCACTGTTACCGCAAAGTAGTGTTACAGCTACTATTTTGGGATAGTCTTATATACCATGCCTTAGATTTTTGATATTCGTTTCACACGTGTTGTGGTGAACGGAGACCGGGACGTTTCTGTGTTATTTCCGTATTGCCCTTAATATGCCACAGCAGTACAAGGTACTACACATTCACTGTAAGATTTAAAACGTCAGCTCAATAAGACATCCATAATTCTCCGTAATTGAAATTCGATTCGTAATTGACTTTCGTAAACTTCTGAAAACTGTACCCCAATTATTTAGAAATCCCACTCGTATTACTTTCTTACAACCCTGTGTTTTTGGTGGATATTGAACTAAAACAAAACTGGTTTGAACACAATCTAGTAGTAATAGCTGACGTGACAGGTGATTGGCAAAAATAAAAACATTTTTAAACCCCAGTGGACCCATATGTTCAATATTTTATTTCGTATCTGAAATAAAATTTCAATGAAACAACTATTGAAAACGTAGGATTTATAGTGAACATATTGAGTTATTTGATATAGGCCAAACTAGTGTATTATTCAGTTTGATGTGCTTCGCAAATTTTTTGGCATTTATTTGAATTTAAATTTTCCATCTCACTTTAAACTTAGCATTCTGCCGATTGCGACTGTGACACAAACGAAACAAACCGTATTTCAGTTGCGCGTGTAAGATGACACAATTAGTGTTACTTCTTAATTCGCAAAGACTCATCCCCTAAACGAGTATTGCTACAAAATAAGCAATAAAGGAGCTCTGGCTTAACCAGTTTGCACATCTCCAACATCGTTAAGCTTAATTATCGTAGCTACTTAAGTTGAGCACATCGCCCTACACGACACACTGCCAGGACGGTTAAGTGGGTTATACAATCTGACGAGAGCTCCGTACACGAGGCCCTTCAAAACACAATACCCACTTGGTACAAGCTTTAGGTAATTACTCGAATTGCTCGAAATGAGAGGAAAAGGTAATAAAAAAATTAATGAATAGAAATAGCTTCGTCGTAATTTAATGAGCAACTCGTCACGAGAGCATCTGCGAGGGCTTTTTAGAAAGTTTTAATTATCCATCAACATATTTATACGTGCCACTGCTGAGCGCGGATCTCACGGGTTTAGGTCGTAGTCCACCACGCTGACCCAATGCTGGTTTTTGTTTTACGGAAAATAAGTGCGCATTTGACCTCCATCTCACTTAATGGAAAGTGACGATGAAACTGAGGATGTAGCATGCATGCACACCTAAATAATGCCTATTCACTATCGCCTTGAAAAGGTCCAAGTTATAGCGTTCGGGGAACAAGTCTGCAGGCAGGGAATTCCACTCCCTAGCCTCTCGCCATACAAAAATGGAAGCGAAACGCTTCGTGTGAATCCGAGGAATATCCACAACATAGGGGTGGAACCCCAGCACACGTCCCCCGATGATGGAAAGGGGAAAGCGGAATCAAATTATGCAATTCCATCGCACACTCTCCGTAATATATTCTGTTGAATACCAATAAGGTGGCAACTCTACGACAGTGTTCAAGGCTCCGCAGCTTCGCCTCTACTAATTCCTATTGAATTCAAGGTGGCCAGTTGGTATTTAGCACACCTATCCCATAAGTGGCAGCAGTACTCCATACACGACCGGACTTGTGCTTGGTACAGCTGAAGCAACTGTCCCGGTGTGTCCCTATCTACTGACCCGAGAGATAGGGTTTTTCCGGAGAGACTACGGGCTCGACGGCAAGACCAGGGTACACTGGGCGTCCATGCCAAGCCCTCCGCCAGTGATACGCCTTTGCGCCCGCTAAGGCGGCGGCTCTCTGGCGGACCCGGACTTGGGTGTGGACTCGCTGGGGTCTGTGGTTAGCTGCAGAGACGGACATGTTTGTCTGCCCTAGTTTTGCATGTTTCCGGGGTATCTGTCTCGTGAGCAGCTAGCGCATCTTAGTAGCGGTCTAGTTGAGAGCCTGTAACGAGGAGACGCGCGAGACACGTGAGTTGCCCTTTAAATTGGAAGCTATGTCCGGACATTGTCGCAGGACACTGCGACTGGCATCTCCGGCACTAGCCCGGAGAGCTAGTAGAGGATAAACTGGATATCCTCCGGTACCTCCAGCCGCTTAGGTTATTGGAAACTGGAGAGACGTCATTTTTCGGCGTCGGGAAGTGAACGTGTCTTACAGCTCCGCCACCAATGAGGATATTTTGGTAGTGGACTCAGAGTCGACAGAACTTAGCGGTGGCAACCACTAGTTGTGCAATGCGCAACGGGAAGTGAGCGTGCCTACAGCTCTGGTACCTATCTGGAAAATAGGGAGAGTACTGTACGTGCACCCGGAGCGGCTTACCCGAGGCACTAGCCTGTCGAAGAACCGGACGAAGTCAAGTGACAGAGGTCTGTGACTCCCCTGTACACTGACTGATCTGGGATCCGAACCCGAACTTATAAAGTTCCTGTGCGCGCACAGGTTATAGTGCCCTTCTCGTATCGTCGCCCTGAGGGTAGGTAGGGAGGGTCACTATAATCAAAACTAACGTAGAAAGATATGGAGCTTGTCCCGGTGTGAAGTAACGCCTCACCTTGGAAAGGATGTCAAGCTTCTTGGCTGCATTTTTGGCCATGGATTCAACGTATCTGCCGAAGTTCAGATTGTACGACTGTTGCATTCGAAATAGGTGAAGATGGTTAGCTATCGGTATGGATATATCACGAAAAGTCGGAGTCAAGTGAAAGGGACTCCATTTAGTGGAGACAAGACACCTGCCTGCCTTTTGGTAGCATTAAATTTGACAATATTGGCATCGCCCCAATCGGAGACTGCCTTAAGTGTCAAATTCAAACGACTAACCATGGACTCTCGACAAGACTGGATTTTTTCTCCACTGACCCTTGCATTGGTCAAGTACCTGTCCACAGCTGTGCTGTCATCAGCATACCCAAAGGTACCTGGACTCAAGATATCATTTATATGCAGCAGAAAGAGGGTTGCGGACAGTACAGAACCCTGAGGAACTCCGGCATCTCATCCGGCATCATCCGGGTTGGGGACTTCACTCGTTTTCCGAGGGTTGTGAACCTTCTTGGAGGTACAGATTCCATCAGGATGATTTTCCTGCACGGAAAAGCTCATGGTAAATTTCAAATTAGATTTCGCACATAAATTCCGAGTAACTCGAGGTGCTAACTAGGATTCGCACTCACGGCGTCTCAAGGAAAATCCAGAACATTTTGATATTTAACAAATTTATTGGACATTGGAGAAATGTGTTTCCAACTTTATATTTCCCTTCACTATCAATAACGTTTTTGTGAACTACAGCTATAAAACCAACACTACCACAAGATTATAAAAAGCGTACGTTCTAAAAGTCCAATTCTCCGTGACAGTGTGTCTGCAAACATAATAAAATGTATAGCAATGCAAAATCTGACTTTGCCAAAAACGTTTAGAATTTTCAACTGCACTGCTGACTTCCCGGCTCGCTCGCTTTGTAATAACAGCCTCCTCTAAATGGCAATAGCGTTAAACAATAAAAGCAAACACCCTGTATGTTTAATTAAAGCAGCATTAACAGAGTTGCTGTACCTACATTTTGTTGCCTATTTGAAATGCGTTGCAACAGCCGCGTTCATATATGCATAAATAAACACAAATATTTCCAATTTACTTCACATTTTTTTTTTTTGGATTTTAGTCCGTATTTCCTATATATTGTGCTGCAATAATGATGTCTACGTGTCTACAAATATCGTGCGTAATTGGGATAAATAGATACCAAAAATCAATGTAATTTATTCGAAAAGTGTGAAATCAAAAGTATTTTATAAGTAAGATCCCTTCTATCCCTATATATTTTTTCCTCATATTATATAACGTATAATATTACATTCAAGTATTGTAAACACACTGTCAAAATCAGATAAAACTCAATCGAGTTTTAACACGAGTCCGCGTGACGACCTCAAACAAGTTACTTGGTGGCGTGATGTGTTGCCAGATAACTTTTCGCGACAATTTATCTGGCGCAACCAACTTGTTGAGAACTAATTCTGTCTAATTTAGTGTGCGGTTGACCTCATACAACCAGTCGAAAACAAGGTATCTGCCAGAAAGTCGGTGAATTCGAAACGGTGAAATTGAACGATTATCTCAGAAACATCGTTACCAACATCTCAATTACGTAATTGATATATGTATCGTGTCGAATTCCGACCAAGTTACAACAATACTGTCTTGCACTATGTAACAAATTTTCAAACAGGTTCTGTTTTTGATTTTACAGTTATATATTGATTTCAATTTACTTGATTGCTGCTTATTTGTAAAAAAGAGTAGCTATGCCGCTGCAAGTTTGCTTTCGCGGCTGCCTCAGTTGCATTTACATAACTTGCCTATTCACTGTAGCTACATAGTGGTATTTACGTAATCGCGCAAATCTCTAAGTTCAGCTATGTTCCTTGTCATAAATTTGTACATCACACATCTATGTTCCTTGTTATAAATTTGTAGAAGTTTGTTTAAAATATATTCAACTATTGATTTCAGACATAATGTTTTCGTTTTGTCTTCAAAGAGAAACCGTACATTTGTACGTTTTCTTAATAGTATCATTGTAGTACAATGATGGTCATGTTTTTATGTTGAAACCAATTAGAAAATGACATTGATAACTCAGAAACAAAAGCCGTGTTACATGGTGTAATTCGTACATTCACGTTCGTACTTTCAATGCTTCATTTAAAACAAATGAAACTCATTAGTCACCAGGGATTCCTTTTTTACCTAAAGTTACTATTAAAAATATGCTAATTATTATAATGTCTTTAAAAGT